ATGGCTGAACCTCATTTTCTAATGTTGGCCTAAAGTTCCTAAGAAGATCAAAGATGATGCGAATGCATATTAACCCATTTTCTTCATTATCTGTGGTGAGCACCTGCATTGCAACCTTCAGGAGGTCTTGAACAAAGGGACGAAGAACCTCGCTATGTGGTAGACGATTGAGGATCTCAACCACAATGTTGCGTAGTTTGTGCTCAATATTATCAGTGAATTGAGGCTTTGTAATCTGAAGAAGAATTACTGAAGATGCCCGGAAGTAACATTTCAGAAAATTCAAGTACTCAGCCGTATGTGTTATCTCTAGACTGTCCCTGACCTCCACCACCATCGCAAGCCTCTCCTGAATAGCTGCAGAACACAAAAACAAGCTTCGAGTCTCAAAATCAAACAAAAATTCCTCACAAACAGAAGAAAAAATAACTACTCAAAGAGTAAAATTGCTGACAAAATCAAAGCTCGAATTTTTTTCCAAATCCAAAATCAAAGCTTCTTAAACTAATTCTCAGCAAACAAGCAAACAAGCAAACAACCCAACCACGAAATAAAGAGAAAGAGCAGAGAGTGAGTGGGATTACGTAGGTCAGGCTCCACGAGACGACGAGAGTGTTGCTCAAAATTCTGAATTGGACTCATGGCTAACAAAAAAAGCAAACCCAGACAAGCGAAAACGCTGTCTTAGGGTTCCGTCACAGTAGAAATTGTAAACGTCGCTTCCTCCTCCTCCTTTCTAACACCCAAAACGCGACGATCCCTAACGCTAAGCCCAAGGTGCTCCACTAGGTCAGACACTAACAAGGGTTTATCAAATTAAGCTAATTTAATAGAGCTTTCGATTCTCTGGTGTACGACCTCGAGGTTAACGATGGAAGATGATGAATTTTCCCTCTCGTTTTTTTTTTGTGGGTCTCTCTGCGAGACTCCCCTGAAAAGAGAGAGAGAAGAACCTTGAGAACTCGAGCGTAGCAGTGCAACGAAATTGCGCAGCCGAGTTATATATAAAGGTCCAAACTTTATTTATATAAAAGTCCAATTGTTCCCTCAAATTTCAGAAATGCAACGAAAATAAATAATCTTTGCCTTAATACAACACACAAATTTTTTTTAACACAAAATCATAGTATATATTAAGTTTTTTTCGTTTTTTTTAATCATCGAACTATATATATATATATATGAATGATTTATTTTTATTTTTTTCAACAACTTTAAATTGATTAGTTCAAATGAGCCAACAATGAAGAATATTGTTTACATAGATAATATATATATAGATGATAAAATGAATTAATGATTGAAAAAGAGATATGATCGAACAAGTTTTAAAATGGGAATGAAAATTTACATTAAAAAAAGAGAAAGAAATCTTTCACGCAGTTTTGGAAACTAATTGTATGATATTTTCGTCTATTCAACCATATGATTTGTTATGAACTTAATTTAGACATTTATATGGTCACTCTATGTATTTTAGGTTGATTTTTTCCCATTTTTATTGAATATTTCAGTTTATCTCAATTCCACTTTTATACTCCAATGACTAATGAGTCAAACCCATAATATTCCCGTAAATTTTTTTCCACCCATAACTTTGGTTTTGTAGAAAAATAACCATGAAACCATATGAAATGTTCGGATTTCCGGACCCAAAAGAATGTATGGTTATAAGTTCATCACCTTTTAGTTATTAATAAAAAAGAAAAGAACCACGAAACTTATAAAAACTAATATTATTTTGAACAATAATTTATGGTATATTAATCATTATTTGATAGAGTAGAACAATTGGAAACATAGTGGCCAAAAATAATCGGTCAGAGGTGAATATTTTTTTGTATATTAACGAAAACCGCACGACTCAGTTTGTTACTTTCTTCTTTTTTTTGGGGCAAAAGTTTATTACATATACTAAAGTATTTGTTTGAAAAAAGTAATATACTAATCACAGAAATTTTTCATAGTATTTGTTTGAAAAGAGTACACTAATCACAGAGAAATTTTCTTTAAAAGTAAAACACCAAACAAGACGACCGTAAAGTGTAGCATAAGATTGGCAATTCATAGCATAAGAATTATCGTAACTACTACTAACTTGCAACTTCGTGACGAAAAATAATAGTTATTGCTTTTTTTTTCTTTTTTGGTAGAAAGTTTTTGCTTATAGACAGGACAAAATGAATACATGTTACAACGAAATGAAGTCATATGTTAAGGTCATCATAAATACACGTAACACATTGAAAAATTCGGTCAAAACAAAAAAAAAATTAACGAAAGCAGCCAGAGTTTATTAGGAGAAATTTCTCTAATTTATTCTGTGGTAAAATCAAATATTAAGTTCGTATCCATACCCAAAAAAAAAAATATTAAGTTCGTATTACAAAAGGAATAAAAATAGAAAACAAATTCTCAGACGTTGTCGGAGCTAGTAGCCTTGGGTCTATAAGACCTGTGAGGAGTATGCCGTGACTTTTCTCTTCGTTGGCCCGATGATGACCACTCTCGACTCTCAGAACGATAATCTCTCGACCTACGATCCTTGCTTCCTTCTCCATGTGCAGTTCGATAGTTGTGATTACTACCATTTTGGTCGTTGCTGGATCTTGAAGAGCTAATGGCCGCAGCAGCAGGAGTACTCTGCGTGGTCTGCTCGTATGGCAACGGCTTAATCCCTTGTAAATCAGGTTCCGGGGTGAATCCTACTGGTCTTTTCGACTCGTCCATTTTCCTAAACGTGATTGATATCCTGAAAGCAGAACCAAGGATAGCAAAAACAGTATGAACAAAACGAGATAAAACCGGAGTGTGAAAGTGTAACTGTAAACTCAAAACACCAAATCCTTTTGTGAAAAGAGAGAGTTATGGTTTCATTACCAAAAAAAAGTACATACTAACCATAGAAATAAACGTTGACAAACAATCAAGGTCCTAACAAATTACCTCTTTGTGGGAACCGCAGGTACACAATGCTTAGCGACATCAGCTCCATTCCCCTTTAGCACTAGAACTGATCTGAAGGAAAAAAAGTGAAAAAATTGTCGAAAAGTTAAGCAGCGGAAACTTCAGTAGAGAAAAACTCAGAGAGAGTATGCAAAACCTATAGTGCTTTACCCGACAGGAAGCGGCATAGAGTATGGACCGGAGAATTCACCAGGTCCTACGACTTTGAGATTTGATCCGAAGAGTATATTGCACTCACTGAGGAATGATACTGTGCAGAAAGGGCGGACGAAGTCATGGTTATCGATATGAGGAGGTATGCAATCACCTTCATCATAGATATTGACGATACAACTATCTGGGATACAAGTTGGAGGAAGTACATGCCACCCAACCAACCTTTTGATTATTACTTTAAAAAGAGACGGTATTGGATCAACCGCTTCGCGTTGAAGGATTCCGGGTGGGTTTCCCGCTTTGTCCTATCAAAAAACAAAAAAGAAACTCTTTCCATATTCACTAGAGTTGATAAAATGTAAAAAAAAAAAAAAATGAGGAAAAAGTCACTTACTGGTGCATAGTTATAACAACATCCGAATTGGATAGTAACTCGTCCTTTGCCTCTCATCCACTTATGTGGAGCGGTAAAAGTACGGTCTAGATATCAAAAAAGAACCAAAGTCAAAATTAGATAAGTAACGGCACAGTTTTCAAATTCACATTATGCAAAAAGCAATGAGGAAAACAGGAAACAAACCTCGCAATTCTCCTCTTTGACCCTTCTCTTGTAGTTCATAGACGAAATCAACAATCTTTTTCTGCTCCACCGCGCTAAAAACACCAGTATGCAACTCAAGTCCCTCGAGAATATTAACAGACCTCCCTCTAACTTTCTCAAAACAAGAAAACACTTTCATTTTCTTCACATTTATAAATCGATAACGCTCTCTTTCTTCCCTAGATAATTTACGCTTCTGGGGAGTCTTCATCGAGTTTCCAGCTAAAGAACTCACATCAACGCCATGTGAACCTAATCCACTATCTTTCTGTTCTTCCTCCTCCAAACCATCTTCATCTCCCATATCAGCCCAAGAAATTCTTGGACTTGCCGCCTCAAAACCCCCGGCTTTCAAACTATCTAATGAGTGAGAATCACAAAACTTCCCGGCATTAATATCGTCCATCTTATTATCAAACTCTTCAGATTCCATGTTCTCCACCATTGAACCCGAAACCGCTTTATCTTCTCCATTAACCTTCTCTATGTTAATGCAATGCTCTGTAATAATAAGGAAACACAATTACACATAAGTTAAGAACAAATACAAAAATCTACAAATAAGGTAAGAGCAAATACAAAAATCTCAAGAAAATAGGTAGATTACATAGAATATTCTATAAGCAGTATCTCTAATCATCACAAATCTATGAATTAGTTCAGAAATTATGGTAAGTAATCAACTTTAATGATTAAATTGTATTCAATAGAACATTAACTAGAGAAAATTTCGAAACAGAACACACAACGTTAGTAACCAAGAAAATTCTCCGTTTCTTCAATCGAATTATGGAAAAAGAACCAGAATTTTCTCGTTATTCGTTAATCATAACAGAGAGGAAAAATTCAAACCTGGGTCTAGAGAACGGATTCGATCGGAGAGAACATGAACACAGTCGTTGCAGAGATCTCTAGATAAAAAAGGCAACCAAGTCGTAAGAAATTCAGAAGCAATCTTAAGTTCCGATGGCTGATACTTGCCGAGGAAAACATCTTCTTCGTAGTTTGGTTCCATTCTTCTAACACACAACCAAATCTCTCTGTTTACGTATTTTAGTTTCAGTTTGTACGGATTGAACAACTTTTCTGAGTTCGTTTACTTTGCTCTTTTGAGTCTTCTCATTGATGACGCCATCTAATGAAAATTTAGGTCGGATTGGTCATTAATATACTACTACACACACGCCGACAAAAGTTCTGGTCCGTGAAGCCCATGAATTAAAAAGCCCACGTAAGTTTACTTATAACCCGGAAAGGAAAATTGGATCCCCGACCCGATCTATCTCTGTTATCAAAAAACCTTCCATCGTAAGTATCTCCCGCCACTGGTTTATGAGAGAATCCATTTCGTGGAAACAGAGGAAGAACTTAGAATTCATCAGCTTTATCTAGTTCGTTAGATTTTAATCATCAATGGCTCTCAATCTCCGCCAAAAACAGACTGGTAATTTTTCTATCTTCAAGTCTATATAGTTTCTCTTGTAGATGAATGTGGTGACAAAACCCTAGATTTTTGTTGTTAGTTGATTTTTTTTTTCTTTGATTTCAGAATGTTTAAATCGGATGTTGAATCCAAGTGGCAATGCGAGCGAAGAATTTTCTTACAAGATATTGATCTACGACGAGTTCTGCAAGAACATTCTCGCTCCTTTGTTCCATGTCAAGGACCTTCTTAAGCAGAGAGTCACGCTTCGTCTTCTCATCGATAAAATCGATAAAGATCGAAAGGTTGAGAATGAGTGTGATATTTCACCAGCTGTGTATTTTGTTCAACCCACTGAATCCAACATTCAAAGAATCATATCATTATCAGATCCTTCTATATCTATCCACAGTACCTTTGATCTGAATTTCTCGTCTTATATCCCTCGTCCGCTCCTCGAGGTTCTCGCTTCAGGGACTCTCAATTCAGGTTCTAATGAAAGAATTGAAACGGTGCATGACCAGTATCTTGAGTTTGTGACTTTGGAAGATAACTTGTTTTCTCTTGCACAACACTCTACTTATGTTCAGTTGAATGATCCATCAGCAAGTGACAGAGATATCGAAGAGATTATCGAAAAGGTAGCTGATGGTCTCTTCTGTGTATTGGTAACGCTTAGTGTGGTGCCTGTAATCCGTTCAGCAGAGATGGTTGCATCAGCGTTAGATCAGAAACTGAGGGATCATTTGCTTTCTGATAACAATCTGTTTAATGAAGGTGGTGGTGGCGGTTTCTTGAGGTCGTTTCATGAGCGGCCTTTGTTGTGCATTTTTGATCGAAACTTTGACCTCGAGGTAGGGATTCAGCATGATTTCAGATACTGGCCTCTTGTACACGATGTTTTAGGCCTAAAGCTCAACATATATGAATGGCAGACCGGAGAAGAAATCAATCGAGTTAAACAGTTTCGATCCGTTCTGGTCAGCAAACAGTTTTGTAGAGTTTCCAGAAGTCGGTGTGGAGGTCGAAACTCAGTTGAACAAGTACAAGAAAGACGTTGAGGAGGTTAAAATGAGAACTGGTGGTGGTGAGAGCAGTAGTGCAGATTTTGATGGGAGTGGTCTGATTGGAAGCACTAAGCATTTGATGAACGCTGTGAACTCGCTTCCAGAGTTAACAGAGAGAAAGAAAGTGATTGATAAATTCCCTCAGTGCTTCCACCAATGTTATAGATACACTTCTTTCATCCAAGCGGCAATTCCAAACCGTTGAATCCCGGTGAGTCTCATCTCTTCTATTTGCAACTTGTTAGTTTTTTTATGTAAATGATGAGACAGGTATGTGATGTTTCAATTGGAAAGGTACAAACTACAAAGTATCTAAACCAATGTCTATGTTACCGTGATGGAGCAGAAAAATCAATATATAGTAGCAAGCAGCTGAGGAGTTATTGAATTTATTAAGAATTGTATGCAACTTCTATATATTTCAATGTTACTGAAGCTATTCTCATATGTTTATTACGGTGAAAGCAGGTTGGTTGCTAAGTCGACACAATTGGAAGGCGAGAAAGTGCAGAAAGAGGTAGAAGTGCAAAAGCTGATGGAGCAGAATGTGAAGCTGACAGCTCTTCTTGATAAGAAAGAAGCTCAGCTTCTGGCCTTAAATGAACAATGCAAAATCATGGCTTTGAATGCTCGAACATCTGATTCTGCATCTTTCATCTCTTGGCAAAAGAGAAGATCTTCTAGGTGTAATCCTTGGACATAGTAGGCGTACTTATTTTTCTATTGGATTCTTTTCTATTTTTTTAGATGTAACATTCTGGTAAACTATCTGTAGAACATGGCTTTGAATAAAGCAAGCATAGTTGATCTGCTTTTGCCTGCTCACTTGCTAAACTCCTTGTCCCTGCTCACTTGATATGATATGAGTAAGAGTTTGCAAAGCATATATATTTCATTTAGTTTAGACAATGATCCAGTTTCAAGATCACATAATTCAACTTTTTTCAACCTGAACTGTTTCAAATGCAACTCTGGAGGCATATATACTTGCAATTTGCAAAGAAAAAGATCATGCTTAAGAATGTCAAACTTGGATACAGGATTATGTTTTTGACTTTGGTATTTTGAAAGAAGTTGTGTATATTCTCTTCTTCTCTGTTGGGGGACAAATTATTAAAACCAACTATCTATTGGTCGTCTTATCAATCAGTGGGAAAAAACAAGCAGATAGGATTAAATTCTTCCACCATGGTCACATTCACATCGACAGGAATTGCCTCTGTTGTACTATATGTAATAAATCATTTCTCTCCAATGGTCATTTTCATTCACAGAACATGAGTATCCACAAATATTAGGCATTTACAAACAAGAAACACCTAGAAATGACTTCTTTAGTCTCTCTAAATCTGGAAGAGAAAACACATACACTTCTCCTACAAATGTGGGAACTAGAATACAGATTGTGACACTGACAGTTATCAGAGAGTGGCTTCTTTGCTTTGCCAAAAACTCATATAAAAACTGCAAAGAGTAGTAATCAGTTTGAAAGACAGAAGACAATGCTTTACTCTGGTGGCCTTAGAACATGGTGGTGGGAGAGAAAAACTTCTCTCATCATAAGTTATCCAAAATCAAATTTTGTGGCTCAGGTTTCATTGGCAGATCTTTGTCAGCTTGTGGTGCTGAGTTGTTGTTGCCACATGGAATAGTCATATTGTTTGCAGACATGGATCCTACAGAGTTTAGGGGATATGAGCAACTCTTTTGTGACTCTCTCTTTAGTTCTACTTCTGTGGATTTAGCCGACATTTGTTTAACATCTAATTATTATCTTAAGTTTATTTCTTGTATTGGTGGTTGAGGTATTATGCACATGTATATTATGTATATAAAAAAATATTTTATCTTTTTAAAGCTGTCCCTTTTAGAGGTATTGGATTGGAAACTGAATTTGTAGGAATATTTTTGGAAAAAACTCCCTTTCATAAAATCTTATTTCTGATATATTTTATGCATTTTGTTTGTTATGAGCTGTCCATTTTTGGTATTGGAATGGAAACTGAATTTCTATAAAAATTGAGGAAACTACGAGTTAATATTCTTTTATGCATTTTTGTCGTTAGGAGCTGTCCCTTTTATAGTTTTTAAATTGGAAATTGAATTCGTAAGGAAGTTGGGAAAAAAAATCTTACTTCTAATATTCTTTTATGCATTTTGTCGTTAGGGGCTGTCCCTTTTATAGTTTTTGAAAATGGAAATTAAATTCGTAGGGAAATTGGGGAAATACTCTTTCAAAATAAATCTTAATATTCGATATTTTTATGCTTTTTGTCGGTAAAGGAACTGTCTCTTTTGTATAATTTGGAGAAAATCTGAGGAAAAATCTTAGTTTCTATAACTGAAAGCTTGATTGGTGACTATGCATGGCTTGTAAAGAAATACATCACATCATACCTACCTTGTAAAATCAACCTAGCTCTTTTGTACTATAGTGTAAAGGTTTGAGTGTATTATTTTTGTTGTAGACATGTAATTGTCTAAGGTATCCAAAAATATGATATTAGTACGTAGTTTCCAGAACATAAATTTCACTTTAATTAGTTTAGACAAGGCTCCAAGTTCAAGATCACACATAATTCAACTTTTCGGCATAACTGTTTCAATTGAAAATAAGTGTCAAGGTTAGGAAAATAAAGACAAAATGATAATCTGTTTATAATTTATCAAATAATAGCTAGAAATTCTAAACGCAATGAAAAATTTACACGAAAATAATAATTAAATAGTCATTTTTGTTTTTGTGAATGTCACCCACACAGCTTACCTTGGTATGTATAAGCTATACATCTTGAACATACAAAAACATCACAAAAATATGTCTTGATTTAGATCAGAAGTAAAAATTCACATTTCATAGTTTCACAATATAGTTTAATAAACTTTTTGTTTCAAAATAAAACGAATATACCCATATCAATACTCAATAGGAACATGGAGTGCCTATAATGTATATAGTGAAATCAAAACAATAATTAGTGTGGAAAAGTTGTTTATGGTGATGAGGATGATGAGTTTGGGGATGTGGGGTAATGAAGAGTGTGAGCTGAGGGATCATGTCTACAAGTTAGAACCACAACAGTAGCGCCAATTCAGGACAGCCAAGTGTTTGTTCCTTTCACTTCCACCTGATTCTCTCACTGTCCTTCTTCTCCTTTGTCCCTACACACACCATCTCTTATTTTTGTTCTGTTTTCTTCAAATTCTCTTATTTATAAATACGACAAAATCCCATCTTCCACGTTTCGGGTTTTAGTGTTTTACTTTTTCTCCTCTCTTCCCTTTTCAAAAACAGTGTCATTTTTATCGTTTTTCATATAATCTTTGAGAAGATACAAATTCAATTAGATCCCCCGCCCCTATTAAATGTAACGGTTGAAGCCAAACTCTTAATCTTTATTTTCTTCTTTGTCGACCAAAAAATCTTCTTTCTTATTTCTTTCTATTTGTCGTTTAGATCTTGAAATCTCTAAAACAAAACAAATCTTAAAAGGTTACTTTAATTTAATTAAAAATTAAATGTAAGCAAATTAATCTTAAAACAGGCTCTTAGCTGGCATTTTCTTGATTATAGAACCCTAAGGATGTCACAGATGATGTTTTGATTGCTCATACGTCATTAAGGTGCTTTTTTCTTTTTGGGCAAACGTCATTCAGGTTCTTTAGATCTTTAAAATAGATGTTTTTCTTTTTCATAATCTGGTTCGAAACTCGACTAATCCGGAAATAAACAATTTCGTTAGATACAAACAGACCATGATAAATATATATACGAGTTGAATTGTCCACAACCAAGTCATGGCCGAACAGCAAGTAAGTGTTTCATCAAGAGGGAATTCAATTGATGGGAGAGCAAATTACGGCTTGTTTTAAGTGAATTACCACCAGATCACCATTTTTAATTAGCTTTAAAATAGACGTTTGATTACAATTATATAACCAATGAAACTTCTTAGAAAATGTTAATTCACCTGATTAAATAAAATTATTGATTAGACAAAGGATAGTATTGTAGAAACAGCCAAAAAGTCCTTTTCAACCACACTTAAAATTTTCCTTTTTTGGCTATCAAGTTATACACGATATGGTGTTTCTACCACGGAAAATTTGCAATTAATTCGATTGGAATTATCACAAAGCCAAAGGTGAAAATGTTTGATGATGTTGATTGATTCATCACATTAAAATGATAGGCAAAAAGAGAAAAAGAAAAGAAAAATAAGATGTTGAATATAAATGGAAAGAAGTACGTGGAACACAAGGCATCGGAGGAATGAAATGGGAACTTGCATGGATTTGATACTATCAATTAAACAAAAGATTAGGTTCCAACCTAAGCATTTGTTTTCATTTTCAAATTTTCACATGGGGACGATCTACTATACTGCTTAATTAGCTATATCTTTTCCCATATATTTATTATAAACATATTTTTCAATGTAAAAATCAATACATATTATATATATGTACGAAAAACTATTAGATCATTATACTTATAGTTAACAAATTAGTTAATTTATCAAATTGTCATGTGTTAATCTTCTGTCCATGATATGAATGGTTTGTAAGTTCTAACTCTTTGACTGAATTTTCAAATGATCCCAAAAATGTTTGTAGTTGCACAATTAACGTTCACTTTCTATCAAATTCAGATGATTTTCCGAATGGCACTTATAAACTATATTTTTGTCGGTGACTAACATAATTTTAAGTTCAGCTTGGTCAGTAGATATAAATTTCCTATGAACCTCGTAATAAACAGTATGTCCTCAATGAATTTGGTTAACCAATAAAATATAAACCACCAAACTGCAATAATCATCATTAGTGTGTTATTTTGTATACATCTTAATTTGTAGATAAAAAAAACAGAAAAGAATGGGCATTAAAGTGTTGGCAACTCTTCTTTTTTTTTTTTTTTTGGCAACTCTACTTGTAGCAAACGACATGTGATCTTGTAGTTGCAAGTACGTACTTTGGTTTACATATCTTTAATCTTTATATATACTTCGTCCGTATCCTTTTGCAACGGACTCAATTTATGACAAAACGGGTATCTAAATCTATTAACGGCCATATGGTATTTTTAGTTATTTATTCATATATTAGTTGTAATAAAATTGGAAGTTTCAGTAGAGACAAATTCTGGCGAAGAGTTTATAACAAGTGTAGAGAAAACAGACACTACTTGTATTAAATTGTAGAGTTGTACAGACACTACTTGTATTAAATTGTAGAGTTGTGTCTAAATAAAAACACAAAATAGAGAATGTAGGGTAATGTTTATAGTCCCTACCTTATTTATAAGACCCTCCAATTTTATTTTGTATGCAGTTTTTCACATATTTTTGCCCTTTCCCTTATGGCCTTGTCTCTAAAACCGCTTTTTTGTCCTACATCCCACATGATATTTGCTTTCACATTACATATAAAAAATGGATTATTTGACGGATTAATGCTATGGTGGTATATGAAAATTTGGGAGCATTGTTATAACTTTGAATAGTCATGATGAGTTCAATTCTCCATTGATACAAGAAAAAAAATTGGACCATTTTGGTTACTCTAGGCCATATATAATATAACAATTTCGCCTTGTGAGAAAAAAAAAACAACAACCCTTAAAAATAGTTGAACGTTATATTTTATGTCTTGTAATAAAAGGAAAACTGTATAAATTTTGAAGAGATCATATAATATGATGTACAAATAAACAAGTGTTTGGACATTGATGAGAATTAATAATTATATTTGATGTCTTATGTTACGTACTTACGCGGCTTTGATTTGATCACCAAGGAAACACTTCATGTGGTTCTGCATGAATTAGTCGTTGTCGTGTATATAATACACATAACCTAGTCACAAATCATCTAAAAAGTCATAAGTAAACCTAAAAAATCTATGTTAAAAATATGTATAAGATTTTTCTTATTAAATTTAATAAACACTTCCAATTTTTTTCTCTCTCATTGTGCCCTTAAATACCCCGCCATATTCCTCCCCACCACCTTCACATCCACACCTTTCTTCAAACATACCAAACTCTCTCTATCTCTTCCCTCTTCCCTCTTCTTTCTTCTCTTTAGCCAAGTTAGATTTCAATAAGGACAAAATCATGGCGATAAAGAAGTCGAACAAAGCGGCCTTGTCTCAAGCAGCATCTCTAAAGCAAATCTTGAAGAGGTGCTCAAGTCTAGGAAAGAAGAATCAAGGTAATTGCTACTTCAACGACGTGCCAAAAGGTCACTTTCCAGTCTACGTCGGTCAACACCGAAGTCGCTATGTGGTCCCAATCTCATGGTTAGATCATCCTGAGTTCCAGTCACTCCTCCAACTAGCCGAGGAAGAGTTTGGGTTCGAGCACGAGATGGGTCTCACTATACCTTGTGATGAAGTCGTCTTTCGTTCTCTCATCTCAATGTTCAGATAAAACTCGATATCGAGGACTGGTCATTAGCTCAATTGGTCATTCTCTGAAAAAATAATCCCCTTTAAGGATGTAAGAGTTTGATCACATTGTCGTACCACACTCCAGACTCGAGATCAAAGCCTCAAAGTTATTACCAAGAATCAAGAAATAAGGAATGTATGCAATATATTATTTAGGGTTTTTTTCTTTGCTAAGAAGACGGGAGCAAATGGCGAGGATCGCGTTAAGCATCGACTCAAGATTTGTGGCTATATTAATATATCTAACAGCTTATTAATATAATTTAACCACTCTCTTGGGAAATTTTTTTCCTTTAATATATTTTCTGTCTTCTTTTCTATATTTAACTTTCAAATATTTTGTATATTAGTTTGGGTACGTGGACGACTTTTCCCTCAAGTCAACGTGTATTGTTGACCGTTGGTTCTTGAGAGGAATAGCTAGTTTTATTTGTATTGATTTTTGAATCAAGAATTTTCATTCTAAGCACTGTTGTTAATTATCTCTTCTATAAAACCTTCATAATTTGAACTTATTGTTACAAAAGAATGATTGATTAGATATCTAGTAGAAAGTACTATTAATTAGTTAATTAAGAAGTTAATTCGACCACCCAAAAAAATTAGGTTTTTACTGCTAGTTTTTTTTTTTATGTAAACATAGAAAACGTATTTAATTATAACAACTGGTTTTGTGTTTTTTTTTTCTACAAATTGTGTGAGAATTGAGAAAATTATCTATACGACCATATAATTTTTTTTATCTTTTCTTTAACTAAAATAAAACATATTAAAATATTAAAAAAAACATTCATAGTATGAGTATCAACCATAACTGGCCGAACCTCAACGATTCACCCTTTGTAGTTCCAACTTCCAAGGAATCAATTTTCACTAAACGCAACGCATCATTTTTTTTTCGCCGTTACGTAGTGAAATTCACAAAATGTTGGATTCACGTAAAATTTATTTAGATTCAGTCTGAAAACTTTAACAATAATAAAAAACTAAAGATTTATCAAAAGAAAAAACTTCAATAAAAAAATATATATATATTTAAATTATAAGATGTTACAATAGTATTGTCAAAAAAAAAAAAAATTAATCATCATGAGAAAACGATAGTCGATAAGTATGATCCGAATTCTACAGTAATTTCTGTTTGAGTGGGGTTCTAATTTATAACAATAATTGCTTTTTAGTCGTTTCGTTTTCATGATTTATCATTTGTTCCAATTGCCTCGTTTTTGTTTTACTATCAATCAGAAAACTCATTTTAATTTGGTAAGGCCGCCTTTTTAAGATTTGTCGATATTTATAATAATACTAGCAAAGCTTATCTGGTAGTTGAATTCAAGTGATAGAGAAATTTATTTTCTTATATTGTATTATAGAGAGATATTACTCAATTAGATTCAGTATTATGCTCTTTTAAATATTGACCCTCCCGGTAAATGATATTAATACGATGTGTAGATGTTTTACATCGTAGGTAAGCTAATTTTTTTTTTTTGTCAAACCGTAGGTAAGCTATTAAGATCGTCTATCGACATATGTGAGTACTAAGGGCATATGCAACGCAATAACTTATAGGATAGATCTTAGAATATAAAAATTATTAAAATAATGTTTTTTTTTCTTTTTTCCAACAAAAATTAATCATTAACCAACAAATGACCCTAGAACTAGTATTAGAACAGATCTTGATGAAGACCACAATTCAGGTTGTTCTTCTACTGTTTGAATATTTTCAATTTTTTAATACCTAAGATCACTACATCAGTTGCCCCGATAAATATGGCCTAAGTGGTATGGTTCATTACATTTCTTTTTGTGCAACGAGTGGTACATTACATATGTGTGGAAATCTTTAGTTGAGAGAGATTGTGTTTTTTTTTTAGCTGAATATAATATCTTTCTTTTTTTCGTGCAAAGCTGAATAATAATATCTCACAAATTAAAATACACTAGTAGCATTGATGGCTTTTAAAATAGGATTATTTGTTTAGTACTTTTAGATTAAAAAAAATTAAAAAAAAAACAAATCAATGAATTGTAAAAGAAAGTCATTAATTTGTATAAATGTAATATATGTTCCATAATTTGTTACAAAACAAAAATATACATATTTTACAAAAAAAGAAAAAAAAAACATATTTTACAATCTTAGATATTTTAGTACGTATCTAGATTTCTAATTACTTTTAGTCGATATATTTTAAGTTCATTATTTTATTCTGCATTGTTGAAAAAAGAAACTGTGTGTTTGAAAATGGGCAGAACATGTAAGCCACAATGTCTCTCTTATCTTGACTCTTCTCTTCCTCTTCTTTATTCTTCTTTTATTTTATGTTTTGATATAAATTTTTGAGATTAATCCAATAAGCGCACACAGTTATCATATATTCTAGTTTTAAATTAGAGTACCAGACGACACAAATAAATTTCAAATATCATTATTCAGTAGAACACAAAACGAATAAATGTATTTTATTCAATAAAAAAGACTTAAAAGACCATGAAGGAAAAAAAAAGAAACATATGTCTGTACAAACTCTGGCTTGCCCACACTATCAAGTTGCTTTGAGTTTATACCTTGTCTGCTTGACATTGATGACCATTATCTGTTCGATCTGTTTCCTGTCCTTTTTTTTTCAAACTTTTCATTTCTTATTTTCATTTGAATATTTACATTATTGTTTTGATGTTGCATGGACCTCACGTTCCTATTTCTATTTTGTCTAAGGATATCATTCATGATTCCTCTGAAATTTAAACCAATGCTTCTTTAAAAAGAACTGGATTTATATTTGTGGTAGAGCCTTTTTCATGGTAGAATGTCTCAAATTATACTAAAATATCTTAGTTATTCGTTATCATCTCAACTCTCAAGTACTATATATCAAAATTTTCAAAGTCTAAACGGGAACATGATCATTATTTCAATATATATTATCACTGACATTGACCAAATAGAATTGCCATTTAATGATTTTTCCACCTACATACATTTATCATTTTTGACATAATGAAATATCAATTTTACATCTTTATCAGAGATTGTTTTTCTTTTCTCCATGAAGGTCTCTTGAATTTTATACATTGAGACTTTATGTAGAAAGGACAAAAACGGCTCTCGGTTTTGGGTTCTTTGAAGTAAATCGAAGATAATTTTTTTTTTTTTTTTTGGTGTGCTCGGTTTTGTAGCAAAGCGTTGTTTCGGTCTCGGTTATAGTCCGGTTTACTTCAATTTTAAGTCAATTCAGACATTTAGGGCCTTATGTAGTTTTAAGGTGAGGTTTTGTTGTTGTGTAGAGTAAGTAATAAGACAAAGATTGATCTTCACTAGAACTGTTCTCTTCTCACATACTCAAAACGCATGTAAACATATACACATATCATGAAGGAAGAGGGAAATCAAACGATCCAGAAGATAATGAGTGTGTTATCTCCTCGCGTTTTAACGTCCATTGTTTTTCGGTTTAGAGGAGAAGAAACGGCCTAATCCTCGTGTATGCTTCTCATTATCTTCTTTAGAGGATGAAGAAACCGAGCTAGACTTGATGATAGCATGGACCGTTGGATTCACCGTGTGTCTAACAGAACGAGATGGTTGAATGATATGAGCATGGGGAAGATCATCTAGTGCAGAGTTTGGTGTTACTTCTGAGGTTTTGTGCTGTTGAAGCTTCTTCTCAGGGGATTGAGATTTGAGAATGTGGTTGCTCTGTGGCTGCAAGGATTGTAACTGTTGGCTGAGTAAGTGAATTGTTTCTTGACAAGCTGCAAGCTTCTCTGTTGCGGATGCTATGTCTTTCTCCTGGAAGCAAGAAAATTGTAGATTATATAATAGATGTAACTAAACGGATGCAAAAGCTAATCTTATCAAGAAGATATCAGTAAGAAGTGTGTACCTGACTAGGTTGGAGTTTGGATGATGAACACTTTTTGCAAGTCTCATTCCTTCAGTATGAAGTCAAAATTAGCAAAACAAACTATGCATAGTGGAAGATTTAACTAAGCTTTAGTTGTTATACCTTTGCATTTTTTCTTGAAGGTCTCTGCATTTAGCTAGAGTCTCCTCATGGCCATGCTTTTCTGTGGAGAAAGCCAGTTCAAGTCTCTCTGTCTCTTCTCCTAAGCTTTTCACTTTAGCTTCAAGATCTTTGGCATGAAGTTCAAGCGATTTGTATGACTCAGTAACGCATTTAAGCTGAGTTTCAGCCAAGCTTTGGAGATCTTCTGAAGAAGTGAGCTGCGATTTCAGCTTCGATATGAGCTGCTTTTTTTCTTCCAACCCTGCCTTTGTACATTCAAGATTCTGAAAACATCTTGATAATTCTACTGCAATGTTCTCTTTCTCTAACTTTAGCTGTTCCATCTCTTCCAACAAGTTCTTGCATGATGAATAATTCAACTCATGACCATTGATCAAGTTATCTACACAGTGATCCTCTGTCTTAGCATATGTGTCTCTCAGTGGATCACAATCTGACTCTCCAATCTCTTTTTGTAGCAATGTAACTTTATTGTTGCTCTCTGCAACAGAAGTCTCTTTACTAGCTAGAACCGAAATGCGGGAGAGTTCTAGAACAAGGTCAGAAAGGCTTAATTCACCGGTTGGATATTTACTAACCGATGAAGAGAAATCCTCCAAGCTCTCCCTCAGTTGTCCATTCCCATTCATGTCCTGAAGTTTTGTTGCTTCCTTTGTATTTGATTTTATGAAGTGGTGAATATTGGAAACAGCTGCTTCCAAATCTTGTTGCTTGGTGTCCTTCTGCTCCTTTTCGCTGTTTTGGATATCCTGAGATGACAAAACATGTTTCTCTAGAGTTTCATCAGTAACTTCAAACAGATGACTTAACATTTGTTTGGGTGATGATCCTTGCATCTCTTGGATCGAAAATCTTGCGGCTTCAACTATTTTCTCAATGCTAATGCCCTCTTGAGATTCAAATATCCTGTTGATTCTTGAGTGGAGAACCGTTAACAGCTGATCAAGTGTTGTTGTATCCTCATCTTGCTCACTGGACTTACTAGTGGATTGTTTTTCCACAGATTTACTACTGCAGACACTGTTGGAAGATTTTGAAGCTGAGTTAGCTCCATCTGGATCATTAGCTGCTAACTTTTCAATCTCCAGGAAGTCATCCATTAACTCCAGTCTACTAGAAATCTTAGGCTTTGAGGAACCATCAACACTTACTTTTCTCACTTTATGAGAATCTGCTGAGGTTGCTGGACAACACTCAGAAGAACTTCCTTCTTCATCAAATCCATCTTCGGATACCGAGGTGACACTAGGCGGATAGTTATGATCATTACCACTGGATGGACTTTCAGAAAGATTTCTGCTATTTGATTTTGGAGCACTCTTGTCATTGTTAAACGTATGCATCTGCCCTTCAAGAATCTTAAGCTTCCCAAGAGTTTTCGCGCATACATTTCTCGAAACCTGCAGTTCATTGTTACGGGCAGCGAGATGTTCTTTAAGTGTCTGAATCTCCTCCTCCATTTCCAATGTACGTCTTGTGAGATATACATTCTCTCTTTTGCACTCTTCCAACTTATGATCATCAGAAATCTCTGCCTTTGCGATGTGTGCATTGTGATTTTGAGACATGTTTCTCTGTGCTCGAGGGTCTGTGAACTCATGCCCTAAGCTTTCAACTTCTATTTTCATTTGAGCCATAGCAGCAGGACCAGGAAGCTTCTTCCGTAGAAGCCCTCTAAGCCTTTGACACTCTGCTTCAAGTTTTGCAATCTTTTTCACTCCTTCCAGATGCTGTTTGTTTGCGTTTTCCGCTGACTTCATACTCATGTTTTTCTCTTCGTTGCGGATCTCAACTTCTTTTGAAGCAACGTGAACATCGTACTTCAGCGAACTAATCTCCTTCTCAGCCAACTGAAGATTAGTCTTCAGCTTTTCCACATCAGCTTCAGCTTTAGACCTCTCCTCACTAATCCTTATAATCATCTCAGATCGTTCTTGCAACGATCTAGTGAGTGCTGCATTGTCAGAAGCTGCCCGGTGAAGTCCTTGGCTCAACTCATCGATCTTTCCTTCAAGCTCGGCTTTGATCTTGTCCCAATGAGTGGTCTTAGCAAGAATCACATCCTGCAGCTTCTTATCACTCTCATCTTTCACAATCCTTATCTGCCTCGTGCACTCTTTCAACGCATCATCCAAATGCGATGCTCGATCCTCTGCAGTGAGCTTTAAAAGTGTAACAGATTCAAGTTGACGTTTTAGAACTAAAGTTTCTGCATCAGCCTTCTCCCATCCTAAAAGAACAAAAGACAAATCATCAACAAAAAAACATCTCAAAAACAAACACACAAGAACGATCAAATAACATTTCAAGAATTATAAAGGTTTTGTTGCTCTGACCTGAAACAGCTTCTTCAGCGACTTTGGCATGTTGAAGAATCAAAGATTCTTTAGTCTTAATCTCAGAGTAAGCAAGATTGAGTTTTTCTTTAAGATCTTTAACTTCAACTTCAAACAATTTGACCTGATCCTCCATTCTACTCATATGTGTGTATGAATCCATAGTTATCTGAACATAGTTTGTGTTTTTACACTTCTCCTGACACACAAATCAAACACACAAAAAAAAGACTTCAACTTGGAATTTAAACCTCACCAAAAACTGACACATAATCACAAAACCATATAAAAACAGAGGTCTGGTTATAAATGAAAGCACCTGATTCTCCAGAGAAGCTAAGTAAGACAAAGAACAAACAGGAGTTGACTCGTTTCCAACAACTGGTTTCTCAGTCGTGGCTTTGTCCGAAGACTTTCTCTTCCATGGCCAACCTCTACCGTCCATTTCTTTTGCTCCAAAATAATAGTACTCTGCAGAATCCGTAGAAAAAGGAAGAAATTAAGCTTTAATAACAACAAAAACAAAAAACTGAAAAAAGTTTTGAAATTTGAACTAACATACAAAAAAAGGAAACAAAATCTTCCGTAAATGTTACTTTCAATTTCATCCGACAAAATCCCGCTATATATTTATTATACTGTATCAGCTCAACAATGACCGTTTTGTTGTTTCTTTCCTTTTTTTCTGCAGTGAATCACATTTAATGATTTCTTCCCAAAAATATGTAACCAAATTCCAATTTATTATTTTATTCAAATAAGAAAAACTGAAATTTTTTGCTAAAAAAAAATTCAAATCACATTCCAATGGGCGCGAGTTCTTCACATTAAACCCCGATCATCATCATCATCAATTCATTATCATCAGCTACACTATCTTACTTAGAACACAAAACAATTTGAAACCAAAATTTATCACTTCGTTTGAACAATTTCAATCTATTCAAGCTTAAAGCGAAGCTAAAAATCGGAAAGAAGCATCTTACCGAGACAAATGATTCCACAGGTTTGAGAGCGCACGAAGATCGAAGGACACTCGCCGAGAGAAAGAAGAAGAAGAAGAAGAAGAAGAAGAAGAAGAAGAAGAAGAAGAAGAAGAAGAAGAAGAAGAAGAAAGTGGGAGGAGCGTGTTGGTGCCAGAGAAGAAGGAACGGTGAATGATTTTTATGCGCTTTTTTTCAACTTTGACGCTCCACAATGAGACAACAACATCTCTATATTTCAAAAGAGTTTATTTTATTCAATTAAAATCCATTTTAAATAAAGCTAATAAATCGCCATTTGTTGTTCTTTTTTCAAAAACGGAATACGAGGAGACAGCTATCTTCTACGGGCAGGTGCATGTAAAACCTCCTGACATCTGATGGATTTGACTTATATCCACCAAAGATTCAAAATCTTCCCGGTTTTTTAGTTTGGGCCTTTCATAAAGCCCAATTAGTGATAAATCCATCACAGTCCACTAGGGTTTTTGAGAGACTCTGGATATAAACCTGATTTTGTTCATTGCTGTTAATTCGCCGTAACCTGAAGAAGACGAAGACGAAGCAAATCTCCGTAATCATCCATGGGTCGTGTTATCAGAGCTCAACGTAAGGGAGCTGGTTCCGTCTTCAAATCCCACACTCACCACCGTAAAGGTCCGGCCAAATTCAGAAGCCTCGATTTCGGCGAGAGAAATGGTTACCTCAAAGGTGTCGTGACGGAGATCATTCACGATCCAGGACGTGGTGCTCCGTTAGCTCGTGTAGCTTTCCGTCATCCTTTCCGATTCAAGAAGCAGAAGGAGCTTTTCGTTGCTGCTGAAGGTATGTACACCGGTCAGTTTCTTTACTGTGGGAAGAAAGCTACTCTCGTCGTCGGAAATGTTCTTCCTCTCAGATCTATCCCTGAAGGAGCTGTTGTTTGTAACGTTGAGCATCATGTTGGTGATCGTGGTGTTTTCGCTAGAGCTTCTGGTGATTACGCCATTGTTATCGCTCACAATCCTGATAACGACACCAGCAGGTTTGTATTTGATTGATTAATGATGTATAATGTAATGTTTTGTTCTGGTGAATTGTTTGTGTAAATGAATTTGATTTATCTCATGGACCATTTGGCTTTGAATTGGATTCAAACCCTAGCTTTACTGAATTGTGATTGCGTAGGATTGGATTAGATTGTTGTGAACAACAGTTTTTAACTACAATGATCTCTTTTGAGAAGGGCATTGTTCTCACAGTTATGAATTTGCTGCTTGATTTTGATAGGATTAAGTTGCCATCGGGTTCGAAGAAGATTGTACCAAGTGGATGCAGGGCTATGATTGGTCAAGTTGCAGGTGGTGGAAGAACAGAGAAGCCTATGCTTAAGGCTGGTAACGCATACCACAAGTACCGTGTGAAGAGAAACTGCTGGCCTAAGGTTCGTGGTGTGGCTATGAATCCAGTTGAGCATCCTCATGGAGGAGGTAACCATCAACATATTGGTCACGCTAGTACTGTTCGTCGTGATGCACCACCTGGACAAAAGGTTGGTCTCATTGCTGCAAGGAGGACTGGTCGTCTCAGAGGTCAAGCTGCTGCTCTTGCTTCAAAGGCAGACTAAGGAGAGAAAGATTCAAGATGAAATTTTTCACTTTTTTGGGATTTTTGTTGAGACCTTGTTTTGAAATCTTGAGATTTACTATCATGTTCTTTGATACCTTTCTCTGTCAAGTAGAATCTATGTCTTCAGGGTTGATCCTTAACATTATTTTGAATTTTGTCTCAGAGTTTGATTGTTGTTTCATTTTTTTTGATATGGGAATCTGGTCTACATTAGGATCTTAGTTTGACTAGATATATTTTTCAATCTTGCGTAAAGAACATCGTAATCCGACTGTCTCAATTAAATTGTGATTACTTCGTGGTCTAACTTTCAGTCATTTCTTAACTAGTAATCCAACACGCAGGACCTAATTTCTGTCAACTTTGGAAAAAACAGTGTTCAAATCGAGGACCAGGACAAACTTTAGCTTTGCAAGCCCACATCCAAAAACAAATCTGAGTCTTAAAGAGTAAATGAGATCATTACAAAAGGTTGGGCAGTTTTATGAGAGAGCTTAATATCATTCATTTCAATTCTGCTTCAGCATCGATCAACGGTTTTCTGTTCATCTGTTATAGGTTTCATTCTTGTGGTTTCCTCTGACACTAACTCGAGCGTGCTTTTGGCTGTACTTTCTTGTTCATCACAATGTATGTTCAAAGAAAACTCCAGCTAGATGCATTTTGATGTTATAAAGAGGTCTCATTCCACACTCCATCTAATCGAATCTCTTTAGCAGTTTATGATTTTTTTCTAGTTACTTTTGCACGGAACTGTTTCAGAAGCTTTGCTCGTCACTTGTTTTCCAGGAAGTGAAATACCTTCATGGTATGGTTCAACCATCAAACATTCAATATCCGAATTAAAGCTGAAGTTTCTACCACATTGGGATGACAACAAGCTTTCAACATTATTACTATGTGTTGTTGTCACATTCCCTAACCCTCAAGATGAAATCGACCGTTTCTCAATAGAGTGCACATGTGAGTTCAAAAACAAACTTGAAACATGTATACGTTTCAATTGCAATATTGTTAGAGGTTGGATCGAACCACGCAAGATTGATTCGGACCATGTGTTTATCGGTTACACCGGTTGCTCACACATAACAAAACATCTAGAAGGGTCGTTGAAGTCGCAAGAACATCATAAAAGTGTTCCTACAAACTGAGTCGTGCCTAGAGTAATGAAGGCCGAAAGCTGTGATTAGTTTTACGCGAATTTATTAATAATGTTTTTATTAAATAAATAATCTTTTATATTGTTTAAAATAAAATTTTCAATTCACAAAAAAAAAAATTTACAATACATGACAAATTCAAATATTAAAAATCAACTTTAAATTAGTTATTGTCTATATGCATGTTTCATTAAAGTTAAATCTAAGATAGTAGATTTACGGTGATTGTGAAAATGATTTAGCAATTATACAACATCTAAATAGATTAGGTGAAGAAAAGAAGTGAGCACAATTGTAAATTGAAATTTGACTTGTGAATAGTTTGTACAAAAAAAAACCTCTATAAATTAATACTCGATAATTAATAATCACTATAAACTAATAAATTTTTTCGGTCCCGAATCGGATCAATGTAATATTTAACATAATTCAATAAAATAATAAAATAATAATTTGTTTGAAAATCTTATGTTGCTATATGGTCTCATCAGTATCATAAATTAATAATTGTATAAACTTATGTATATATATATAAGAAAATTTAGTAAAATATGATTTAAGTATTATTTGTTTTTCTTAAATATGCATTAATCTTTGTTAGAGTTCACTTACAATATTTTACGATATCAAATTTTTTTATTGAAGGATATTGATTTCTAAAAAAAATTAATAAAAAATAATAGTCAAAACTGTGTTTAGTTTAGAACCAAACCATGTCGTTGTTGAAGGGAACTGTAATGGAACTAGGGATTGGTCTTCAGCTTTGACCAAAAAAAAAAAAATTAAACGGCGTCGGTTCGATTAAGTGGTTTTTTGAATTGAGGAATTGGGTTTGAAGCTGCAGCAGCTCAAGCAGGGGCCGGCCAGTCGGTTATCAAACAGAGTCCAATTCCAAACCATTAATTCATTACATTTGACATCATTGTTTTTTACTTCTTCTTGCCCCCACACAGAAAAAGAAGAGAAGGAAAAAACTCAAAAAGCTTCTCATTTTGCCTTTTTTATAGTGTTTGTTCTGAATTCTGAAAATTGAGTGAAAGACGACAACGTGGGCAAACCAGTGATTCTCTTTTTTTGTCAAATTCACATTACGGTCTCGTGAGAGAAAAAATAAGCTTTTTGACTTATATTTTGGAAAATACACATTGGTCAAGATTCTGAGATAACTTTAACTTCATATTATTTTCCCCGAAAGAGAGAGTAGACTAGTAAGTGGTTGGTGGGTCTAACACATCCTAAAATAGTCGCATGTATCTACAAACCATATAACACACATACAAACATGTCTATATATAACCCATCATTAGTTTGATTTAAAGTGCGTAATTGTTCCTAATGATACTCTTACTTACTGTCTACTTTTTATTTACGTGGAGCTTCTCCAATGGTAATAACGGGAAATAGATGTTTCATCCTTGTAATCAAATTCCGCACTAATATGGATTTCAAAAGTACTGTGCTTTTCTACACTTGATTTTGAGAACTTTTTTTTAAAAAAGTATTTTTTTATGAAATATTATCGTGAGTTTCTTAAACAACTAATGAATATCAAACTATCAATCGTCCACACTTTGATACATATTGTTATGTTTGTTTTAGAATTTAGTTTTGATAATTATTAAAGTAGAAGTATTCTGGTCACAATTATAAAAAATATTGTTAATTTGATAAACAAAATTATTGTTGTAACTTGTAAATGGTGATAAAATTTTAAGAGAATCCCTACTAATAATTAACCCCCTCTCATCTTTCGTATTTCTGAATTCACCATCGCATTTGCTAAAATATTTGTTATTAAATGTAAATTTTGTCTTTGTTTAAACTGTTGTTACTTATTGATTCAGAAAAGTTAAATAAAATTATTTTTACATGAATCATTTGCATTCTTGACACAATGTTTTGGATTCGCAGGAAAAAGATAGTAGACAGAAAAGAGAGGATTGCATGAAATACATGAGAGTGGTTTAGTTGGCCCACCTTAAGTATGAAATGGACAAATCACAAGCCTTGTCTTTCCTTCAATCACTTCCCTCCCCTTCAAAAGCTACCATCAAGTGAAATCTCTTCCAAGATTTTGCCATCTCTTTTCAAAAACAATCTATAACAATGTATCAATAAATTATTCAATTTTGTTTTAAGTACTTTAGTGTCTCTAATAGTAGACGAAGGGTACGGATGTCGATTCAATTAGATGCTCACACGTTAGCATGATCTTCTTATTGTATGAATTCCTTAGACTTTATTA